CCATTCAAGACTGGATAATCACTAAATTTAATATTTAATATGGCCAGCAGTCGAGAGTTACGGCGTTTATAAGAACAATCAGTAAGAGAATGAAGAGCCAATTCGAGAGGCGGGCACCTATCACATACATGCGGAAATGTAATATGATCTAGCAGCTGCCGTTTGCTTTGCTTTGCGCCACTTAATCGTTTTGCTGAGATCACTGCTCTCGGGTACGGGCTTCAGTTACATCTGGATATTGTTTAGTGGATGGAGGATGGATGAATTAGTGGCACAATCTCCAGAACAGCAGGTACCTATCGATTCATTTAAGACAGAAGTTATCATTAATGAAGACTGGAGACTGGAGAGTCAGGACTCGACAAGAGATCAAAAAGCTATTGCTTTGTACTTATAAACACATTTCTCCATTAGTGATAACTTCTGTCTTAAATAAGTTAGAGTGATTGCTGTATAACTTTGAAATGAACAGCTAGAAGAAAATGTCGATAATTTTTCTAAATACAGTTTTTTCACAGATCAGTTTCCCCATTTTTGATTTGTAAGTTCTTTAAGAGATACTAAATCTTGGCCTGTCATCATAACTTTAGTGGTGGGATGTTCGAAAATGAAATTTTTTTGTTTGAAAGCTTTTTTAGTACTTGAATTAAATACTTCAGATAATTACAAGCGCGCCCGTAACTTCTGCAATTCCAACAACAGATGACAATGATGTGGTTAGTTTTACTATTTGTGTAAGAGTGCATCGATGATAATGGAAGGTATGATTTACATGTAATTGAAAGTCAAGTACGAGGAATGCTTATTTCGATTTATTCCCTTATCACTATCATTATCACTGCCTATTACACTCACTATGCTATTTGCTTCGTAAAGAACTTTCTTTCTTTGCAATATGCACATAAAGTTGCTGTTACTCTTGCTACTGTCCGATATATTCAGTGGCTGGATGGTAATTATTCGGTGGCTAACTTTTCCCACTCTTCATTCACTTTCATGTTTATCAATTTACCAGTTGGGCTTTGAACTTGTGATCACAGCATTTCGATTGATAAATATTACAGGAGAAAGTAAATCAAATCTAATTTATTTCCTACGATACCAAATTTACTGCTTGAAAATGGGTTGAGTGGTTTTAGATGGTCAACGAAATGAAATCTTTTTTTAGCTTTGAACCGCTTTTTTAGTATTTGTTTTTTTCGTACAGTAACGTGACTTTATTTATATGTTCATTCTATCTTGCTGATTTTGGTCAATTCCAAATTTAATGTTAGTCCTTTTTGTGCAGTATTCAAAAATGTAGTATAAAGTTGTTCGCATTTTTTTAGCAGGTAGCCGAAATAACCGTGCAAATTGAACTGAAAGGAAAGGAATCGACAGCAAATAATTGATTGGAGACTATGCATTTATTTGTATCTTCTTTAACTACTTTTCCCAAATTACTTTTGTTTTCATTACTGCACCTGAAGTGTTATTATACGTGCTTCCCTTAATTCTATTTTGTTGAGATTTGATTATCAAATTGGTAACGCGGATTTTATGAAAAAATTCGGATTTACAAAGCTGAAACGTCAAAGGAGGTCCAACAAACTTAAGGAACTAAAAGGAGATAAAAGTGAGAGTGATAGATGACTAGTGATACATAGAGTCGGAGTAATCAAGTTATTTTTTCTTGGGTTTTTAAGTACTTGTAAACTTCGGCAATTTGTTTACAGTTTTAATCAATCACTTTCACTGCATATGAACCACCCTTTTGGAAGTTGGAAATTGATACTAATAAAGTCTTTTTGGATTTCGTTGTTTTCAGGAAAACCACAACATACATCATTTGAACTTCTGGGAGAGATGTGTTACTTGAACCTGCTTTGTTTGGTTTTGTCTGAAAAAAACTTTTAAAAGACTTTAGTACTACATACCTTCCTAATAAAACATAAGTTTTGTCTCTTCGACGCACACAATGTAAATATATTACCTTCATTCAATAGCTGGAATGTTAAAAAATCGAAAGGACTGTCACTTAACCAGTAAGACAGTAATATGAAGTGCAAAATACTTATATTCACTGGGAGAAATGGTACTTTCTCCACAGGCTGCTATTTATATACTTCATTTATTACGTTTATCTAGGCAGAAGTAAGCTCATCTCGTTTTCTGCAATGCATTTTATGGTTGGAAATGATATTTCTTTCCTTTTCATATTTAAAAATTAAGGTTATGGCTGTATGCTTTTTTTTTTATTTCATTCATCCATACATTTTATTATCAATTTTATCATCCATTTTTGAATGCTGGATTTTTGTAACTAACTCGGCAACTTTCGAAAACGTGGCTGTGTAACTTGTAAAGCGGAAATTTTTAAAAATAGTTCATTAACTTCACTAGAATTAACCAGTGCATTTACTGTTTATTTTTATTTTTCCACTTGTTTTTTCATTTATGCAGCCCAATAAATTAAATTAGAGTATCTTAGCAAGTCCAGCAAACATTTCTATTGAAAAGCTGTAAATTTAAGCAAATTGAAATTCATGGATGTTCAGTTTCAGGGAATAATATCAAACGGGCAATCTAAAATAAATACAAATGTTGAGCCTAAAGAGATTATTTTACCGTCAGCAATATCGACAATGACTAGTACGACACCATTGGTATGTTCTTTTAGATTTTATAAGACGTTTGATTGAGTAGTTGGAAGCAATGAGTTGTTGGGAACACTATACGTTGATTAACTATGCGAGTTTTTTGTTCTTGATCCAGAAGATTTGAAAGTGGAATAGATATCCAGCTCAGAAGTTCCATTTCCAGGATTTACAAACAGATAATCCTTTGGAGCTTTTCATATGTCCAACATTCTGTGAAACTTTGGCAATTTCGCCTGCTGAAACGCCATATGCACCAACCAGCGCTTTGATTCCATCAGTATTGAAGCAAGGAAAACACGTTGACACTGAAATTGAGGTAAAAGAACCCGGACAACAGTCTGCTGTTGATCAACAACACAGCACAAAAGATCTTTCGACCTTTTCAAAAAATTTGGAACAGGTTTCCAAGCCAGCTTCATTGACCATATCAACATCGATAGTACCGATAGACGAGAAACCTGTGAAAAATACACGGGAGGACGGAAGTGATTTCGTTTTTTACAAGTGTCGTTTCTGTGGACTTACTTATAACTATCTAACAACATTGCGGGCTCATGAACGAGTACACAATATCGATGAGGTTCGCCATCTTTTGAAAACAATCTTCAATAATTTGTTTGGAAAATTTTCTAGTTTTGAATCCTTAACACATTTTTTGTACCATTTCAGCCTTACAAGTGTAATCGTTGTTCGGAATCATTTCATTATATGTGTGAATTGGACTACCACGCCAAACAGCACAGCGGTAAACAATATTGCTATTCATCGGGGTATATAGTCTGTTACCATATTAAAATGTGGAAGAGATTGGAAAAAAATGGAGTCGAATCCCTATTGAAAGTGGCACAGTCAGAACATTAATTAATGATAGGGAAATCTGATGGCGTATTCCTTTTGATTCCTATTAGAATTTTAACATCTGATTCCAATTTTATTGTTGCAGATTTGAAAGGTTACAAGTGTGAGTGTGGCAGAACATTTCATTCTTACACCGATTTGCTGTATCATAAACATCCAGGTGATGAGGATAAAGAATCAATCACTACAACGGCACCCATTGCTGCAAAATCTGCTCCGCCTATTCCAGAAAGTGATTTTCCTATTCCAAAATTCATTGAGGAAGGATTTGAACCAAAGCATCCTCTGAAAGTTTATTCCGATGTGCGACTTAATCCATACATTTGTCAATATTGTTCGAAAAGTTATCCAAACAGTCGGTAAATTTCAATTTATTACATAGTGAGCAGACAATTGCCTTTTTACAGTCGTCTTTTTTCAACAAACTATCTACAAAAGTCTCCATGTTTTATTTAGAGTGTAGTGCTTGTAATAGCGAACTGAGTTTGTCTACATTAAAAAAAAAAAGTAAAAAAGGGATTTCTTTTGCGGAGCTTTGCTGTTTCTGGAATTATTTGGTATTTTTCTTAATCTTGTGTTAACTTCCAGTATGTTAACATATCACATGTATGGACATCGAGGTGAAAAGATATTCAACCCTCGTGTTTCAAGATACCTAATGGCACGTGCCGAGAACTCCTACATCAGTCCAAGATCTTAAATGTTAAGAAAGACTTCAGATATTTCTAATAAGAACAGTTCATTTCAATTTGTACATGATCTATGCAAATCATGAACTTTGTTTTTAATCATTGCTAATTAAGAAATTAAAGTTTTAAAATAAAGACAGACAGCTGCACTTGGCCATCTCATGACTAGCCTGTTTCTTTGCAGATTATATTTCTGCATGCAGCAGTATCACACGAATGTCTTGATTCCTAATATTCAAAAGAACACAGTCAAGGACAGTTCATAACACGTAAACTCATCATACCATAAGAAATAGCAATTTATTTGTTGATTTGACAGTATTTCTGACATTTGCTGCGACTAATGAATGGGAAACGAAATACACAGTAATACAATGCACTGAAAAGTTAACTGGTTCAATGTAACTCTTGATAATTATTTATACATTGAATTACTATACCTGTCCTCATATACCGAAATTCTTTAGTTTCAGATTTAAAAATCAAAAACTGGGTGATAAAAGCACTAATCATTTGAGAAATAATCATTTCGATTTACCTCTTTCAGTTCACCACGTTGATCTTTCCAAGTTATGGTGTCGTGTCTCTTTATGTGTTGGTGTTAATATTTTCATTTCAGTCACACTAGTATTCATTTCTTGTATAAGCTCATGCTGAGCCTATTTACACCAAATATTCCTCCATCTTTACAAATGGATTGACCTCTCGTAGTCTGAACTCATCCAATAAGATGCATGCAATATACAGGAACACTGGGCATATTATTCACTACGCAATAAGTAATGGTACAATTGACGACGCTATTTCCAATTTCTTACCTCAACCCTATGAAGAGGGTGCACTGATGATTTGGAGCAATTGTTGTATCATCATCATTGTCAACGGTAATGGGTGGCTCACTGCTAAGCGACATATGATCGGCATCTAATTCCATCAGCTGTTCCAAATAAGCCCAGTCATCAGTAGTCCACCCATTATCCTTCACTATTTCTGATGCCTGATTGGCTGGTTCCTCTATTGGTAGCTTATCATCAGTGATGACATAGTGTTTTTGTGATAAAGGTTCCTCGCAATTATTGGATGCCTTACGCCTTGCTAATTTAATTATATCTTCTAAAGTTATGGCTCGTTCAGGAGTCGGTAATGATGACCTGAATACAATTCCAGAATTATCATTAGTAGCCAACACCGGTTCTGGTTTTCTTTCAATTTCTGAAATTTTGATTTTTTGAAGAGATAATGCGATCAAATTTAAAGAATTTGTTAACATAATCTACAAAAGAGCCTGTAATTATCATCTCATCAAATTCCAAACTGGATTTGTTTATAATTTTGCTTACCTTTTACAAAGAAATCATTTTTCCGGCGTAGCAGTCTTTGCTTTGTTTTCAAGAAGTCGGATGATACGGAAGGTGGAGAAGGTTCTTGATTTCGACGATGTACCTGATGGCATGACCGGTTACAATCGGTAATGGTACAAAATGGTTGTAATTGCGTGCGCATCGCCCTATACATCAAGATTATGCTCACAGCAATATAGGAAGAGCTGCTAGGCAACGCTAGGCCTCTCAAACAACGAACATATCATTAGCGTACTACAAGTTATCCAATTTTACATTCCATTTTGTGGTGAAGCAAATGTACTCTCTCTGCATGTAGCAATTAAACTAGTTCAATAAGCATGGAGAGGAATGGGTAAAGTTAATGAGCTAATAACTATCTAAAGACTGAAAGAATATTATGCATCTCTCAAAGAGGAAGATAACTTGTGCAATCGATGCATTTTACAAAAGGAATAGATCTTTCAGACAAACTTAAATTCCTCTTTATTTATCATTTCAACAACTCAATTTTAACTGAGTATATGGGAAACCACATTAACTTATCAAATCTAAATTTTCCGTTACAAACTCGCGGAGGAAATAAATCAGGCCCCGAGATGAGTCATCGGGACCCATTTCAATTTACTAACTTTTAATCTTTATTTTCGGCAATAAGAGGGTACTGGTTACTCCAAAATCTATCTTTTCTTCACAGACTCTCTGTTTTGACAAATCCAAAGTGTAATCACGTTTAGAAATAGGTCACTGTGGCGTCAAGTACGTGTCCGTCCTTATGACCACTGAACGATATAGGAAAGTCACAACTGTAAAGTGCAAGCCCCGCAGACTCCGCACAAAAACACCTTAATGGTTGGTTCCAGTCGTCCGTGCCAGGTTTCTCTCTGCCAACAATTATGAGTTGTGGCAGGGCCGCGTTACAAAGGCTCTTTAGTCAGGAATTTGAAAGTATTGTGGTTGAGGTTAGTAATTTGGAGAGGGGATGCAGCTGGAAGCGTGGTTGTGGTTCGGACTTTTTATAACTCCTTTTTTTTCACTTCCTGTTATTAAAGTAACAGAGCCTGACGTCAACGATGAGCGGTACTATTAGCACGGGACGAAAAATGGAAATTATGCAGCTAGAAATGAATGGTTTTGTGATGCGTTTGGAACCGCGAATACGTGGTCGATTCAGTGATTCACTTCGAAAGGTTCTGGTCGAAAGTCTATTGGATGGGACTGTGTTTGCCATTGTCGAATCACTCAGTGATTTGCAACGCATGAATGAAACGTAAGCTTTATTTTGTTGCTTAAATTAAAAACAAGAAGATTATCCGCTCAACTTTCCTCGTTTATGATGCGTTCTTGATGATAGCCGCTCTTGGAATAGCATGCCTAATACATGTACTGAGAGTACAGTATGACCATTTGTAGGTATAAGTCAACATTGTTATTGTTACTTAAACGAGAACATACATTTTCGATGAGCTTTAAACGTGTTTTTTATTCATGAACATATTCAGACAGCTTTATAACGATCGCCACCAGCGACTAATGGAGTTGCAATGCATTCCTGATTTGGATGAACAAATGAAACAAATTGATATTAATATTGTGAAAGAGCTCGATAAGGTTATTCTTATCACAGTGCTTTAAATTTATTCGTTCCATTCAAAGTTCGAAACATCAGCAAAAAATGGTAGATGGAAGCTGCTTCTTTGCAGATAGTTGCGCAACAGCAAGATACATTGTGCCGTGCCGGTGTTCCAGCATTTCGCATAACTACTAGTCCTCGAGAAATCGAGCTGCAAATGGCAATTATTAGTTTTATTTTAACAGTTCGTACAAGACTTCTGTGATTGTTATTGATAATTTTGTTTCTCCTATTGTCAAATGCCACTACATTTGCAACTTGATTCAGTTTGCATAGTTATTACTGGTGATGATAATTTTAACTGCAATCTCATCTTTCGACGAGTATTATCTAAAAAGCCTTTGATGCTTTTTTTTGATAACAATAGTTTACAAAGACGAGGATCATTGGAAAAAAACTTAACGCTGATTTTGGCTCTGTCGTCTGAGTTTGCTGTTAATTATGCCAACAGTAACCTTCTGCATTCATGAGCAAAAAAAGAATGAGTGGTTGCATGACAACTTGTCAGGAGTGCATAATTCTGCTGTTTACTTTAGAATGCCTGCAAAGCCCAACAAAAGATTGATGGCTCCACCATCTTAATAGCAGAAATTTGAATCTCTAATACCATATTTGTCATGATGAATGAACTGGATAGTTGCGATATTGTTTACTCTATTAAATTGTAATACTACTGCCGAATCAATTAGTTCTACTTACATAGGAATTTATGTAAATAAAAATGAATTGTGTTTGATCGCTTGACAAATTTTCTATTTAGCTCATATTTACTCTATTTTGTTCAGTGTAATGAACATCGTAAAGTTTTGTATTGGCGTACCAAAATCGGAAGATGACTCTATCAACAACAATTATGCATGCATCATCACCAAGTATCCACTATTAGTGGAACTAATCAGTTATCGGATTAATGCAACCTTAATTGGTACGATCGTTCCGGTTTTTCGAATCGGGTTTGTATACATGCTACAATAGAGGGACGCAGCTCTCCTATTTTCATGGTACAGGCATTGGGTGCTTACAGAGTGGAGCAATGTCAGTGAGTGCTAATCTAATTATTGTATGGAACAAATGTTGTGATACAAAATTTTGTGAGATTTTGATTGGGGAGCTTATTCAGCTTTTTTTTTATATTGAAAAGATCTTTTGTCTCTGCAAACATGTTTCTTGATTCAGCAAAGAAATAAGCCATTTTTGGCCTAAGCCTTGACTGATGTAATTTTGACCAAAGAAAGGTTTATTTCGGTGATTAGAAACATTACCGCAATTTCGTCTTCAGTGTATTTCATTTCAAAAAAAAAAGAAACGATAAATCAGGCCTTTTAACAGGTTCGGATGAAGCGCATATCAGTTACTATGTACATTATGCTTTGACTGCAATTGTGATATAAATTCTCGGGACGATGACTGCTACTGTTGTAATGACAGCGATTCTTGAAAGAACGCAAGGTGTCGCACAACAGTTGTGACTGACCAATTCTAATTTATTTCGAGCTGCAATAGTCTCCATTGTCTTTGCGGCATATCCTACTCTGCTGTAGTTCGTTTGGTTGTAGGATTTGACCCTAAGTGGGTTGTGCCCATGTGATGTAGGTGGTTGTGTTTCGTTGGCTTTTCGTTAGGTTGTGACCAGTTACTGTCCACTAAATAAGAGAATTTATTTGTTGCTTACAATGAGTGCTTAAAAAGGCTACAAACGGGCAAGTTTATGTTAGTGAGATTGATAATGTGATTGTTCGTCTCTTTTCCACTTCCATAATATTGTTGATTATGTCCTCGGTCGTTGCGCGAGCATTGCCTTGGATAATAGAAGTTGGTCATCTGTGTCGTTCTCATATTTCTTTAGTTAAAATTAGTTTAGTTTCAGGCACACTATGGGTTTAGTTGATAAACCTATTATTATTGATGGAAAAGATCATCTATTGGGACGGTTGGCATCAGTTGTTGCCAAACAGCTTCTCCTTGGTCAGAAAATTGTTGTTGTGCGATGCGAAGATATTGCTATTTCTGGTAATTTTCATCGTTCCAAACTAAAGTTTATGAGCTTTCTGCGTAAGCGATGCAACGTTAAACCGGCGCGTGGTCCATACCACTTCCGTGCACCAAGCCGTATATTTTGGCGAACTGTTCGTGGTATGTTACCACACAAAACACATCGCGGAAAGGCAGCACTGCTTCGTTTGAAAGCGTTCGATGGTATTCCACAACCTTATGATCGAGTTAAACGGCAGGTACATCCCGCAGCTTTGCGACATTTGGCACTGAAACCACGAAGGAAGTATTGCACAGGTAAATGTTCTTCTGGTAGATTTGTGTGTGAACATTTCAATCATTTAATTGACGACATACAATCCCTTTTGGCTAGTTTTTTCATGTCATATAGCTCTGGAAATTTTTAGAAAAGTCCCAGTAAAAAGATATAATGATTTTAGTGTATACTTTATCGTTGGTGTTAATATACTTGCAAAAGAAAGCTGTCCGTTAGGTAAGTGGTGGGTTTCACTGATTGCTTGTTGAACGTACAGATCAATTAATTTGGCCTGAAAGTTAACACATTTTCAGTTGGACGTCTCGCGCATGAGGTGGGCTGGCAGTATCGTGATATAGTTGCAAAGCTGGAAGCCAAAAGAAAAGTTAAAAGTGCTGCATTTTATCAGCATAAAAAGATGAAATCGAAATTATTCGCAGAGGCATTGAAATCAGATATTGTTAGAAATTCACCTTATCAAAAGCTGATAGAATCTTATGGTTACCAGTAAATTTTTCTCTTGTTGTTGGAATAAAATTTTTAATTGCTTGCTAATAAACACCGATTATCTCTTTTTGCAATCAAAGAATCATTATTACGAGGATATTTTATGATATATGTTGGGGGTGGTTTGCCTTTGGTGATGTAGAAATACTAGATTGTGGTAATATAAAGGCGGTCAATAAAATTTTTAATTGCTTGCTAATAAACACCGATTATCTCTTTTTGCAATCAAAGAATCATTATTACGAGGATATTTTATGATATATGTTGGGGGTGGTTTGCCTTTGGTGATGTAGAAATACTAGATTGTGGTAATATAAAGGCGGTCTTGGTTTGATAACGCTTCCAAATATATGAAAGTTTAGCGGTCGAACTGTAAGAATATGCTAGCGGAAATTAGCAGTTTGTTGAGTGAAAAGCAGTACAATATTATTGTGATCAAATGCGAAGACCTGAGCTCACCTGCTTTCTTGCAACTGTGCATTGTTGATTATGCGATGAAAAAGGATGTGAAAGTCGTCTGTGTATCGGCAATACGAAACATGCTAGCTTTTAAGTTCGTTTATTCCTATCACATTCAATAATAATTGGAGATCGGGTAGGGCTAATCAGAATGTGTCTGTAAAAAACATTTTGGCTTTACGTGCTATTGTCAAATCCATCATGTCCCATCCTCTATTTAATATCACTGGGGTGAATAGTCTCCATTAGAGAGTTGAAACATATTAGGAAGTTTTTCGAGGACGGTGTGGTCCATGCTGTGATTCATTTCATAGTTACCTTTAAGATTTATGTCTCTGTAAAGATTTGTCACTTAATATAAACTTTTACACTTAACAAGTTTTGACAGCAGCTGTTTCCTAGGGCGATGGCAAGTAAAGTAATGATACGACTATCAGAAAAGCTGAAGTTTTTGTCAGTGGGCGAGCTCCTCCCCAGTGGTTTTATTAGTGATAATGATAACACGTTTTTCGCATGCATTTTGAAGGTATTATATCTTTTAACATTTTGGGACTTTTAGATCTCAGCTCTGTTTGCACGGTATTATACCCGAGGGAAAAACGACTTTCTAATATATGGTCATTTTTGTGAAATGTTCATTGTAGGAAATTAGTAAGCATATTGAAGAGGAGGATAAAGAAATATTCATCATATTTGACAGTTTCACGGTGTTCCATGATTTCACTAACACCGTTTCACATATTCCTGCATTTATGCGGCACCTGCAACAATTCAATAAGGATTTAAAAATCAAATTGGTAAGCTAAATTACTTTTTCATTACTGTCAATCCTACAGGAACTTCTTCATTCCCCTGGCCGTCGTAGAAGTACGCCTTATCTATACCACTTGCCTGATTAAAAATGGTTTAATTCATGTCTTCTCATTTCTAGGTAGTAACTTTTCAATCGAAGGACCAGATTTCGAATATTATTCTCCATGAAAGTGACATTGTTATCAGGATAAAACGTACTGGAAATGGTTTTGCCAAAGACATCACAGGACAGGTGAATTCATGATATTAATTTAGTCTCCTTTCACAACACAATGTTCTATAAATGCTTAACCGAAACTCAATCAATTTATATCGAGTAGAAACATGAACGTTGGTTCTTGTACCAACTTGTGAGAACGTTCCGGGTTACAAAACAGTGTTGGCTCAACTACATTTTTGCAGTTATATGTGATGGAGCGCAGTGGTGAAGCGCCGTTTGCAGAAAATATTTTCAACTATCATTTGAGCGATCGGTCTGCACGACTTTTTCCTCCCGGAATGTCAAGGCCGAAATTATGAACTCAGATGTTTCGAAATAAGTTTTAACTGCACTATATTATCTGATTATGTGCGCATAATAATGACAAAAGATAGTACAACTAAGTGTTGCTGACTGGCATCCAAATAGATACCTCGAAAAAAAAGAAAAAAAATTGGGAAAATAAACAAATCGAAGATCTGATCATTACCTGTATATGACAACATCTTAAAAAAAATATAACAGTTGCTTTATCATCCTGATAACTATATTTACTAGAGATCACATAAGTAAGGAGGACGAATGCACATTTTATATTTAGAAATGATTTGAATAACTGCGATTGTTATATAACAGTTTGTTTGTCTCAAAAAAGTTTGATATCAGAGATCTCTTTATTAAATTGCAATCGCATAAATGGTCTTATCACACTAAAAGGTACTAAGGTTTAACTTGAAAGAACCAAATGATAAATCAAAGAAGACCTAGAAGAGCAACAAAGCAGTAACTGATTTTATTCTATTTTGATGCCTTTAAAAAGCCGATGACAATAACAACATAAATAATCCGATGACATGACTAAAATAGTACGAGTCAGCCCATACAGAAAGTGTATGTCTCCAGGAATACCCTGTTTCTGCAGTGCTGTCATCAAATGCCATTCCAAGGTATACCAAATGTGTTAGAGCTAGAGCTCGAAACAACATATTGATAGTTAATGTACTTAAAGCATCCTGAAACCACAAGTTCAAGGCTCAAAGTGCATCAGTCTATGTAGTACTTTTGGTTTTTGCTTTTTTTATTTCTAGATTTGAAAAAAGAATGATCTAAGACCTCTTTACATGTATGGTGACATTCTTTGCGGCATATCCTTGCACAAATGCATGAATCTATGCGGCGACTCAATTTACTCCTTATTTCTGCAAATAAATTTGATTAGGTCTAGATAGGGAAAGTGCTTTAAAAAGAAACATAATATAATATATAATTTCAATAATCTCAATATAATATATAATTTCATCTATAAAATTCCCTTAATAAACTAACTTGTCTCAGCATATGTGTAGAGTCCCAATGAAAGTAGCACAGCAGATAATTGGAAATTGATGCCCTAAAATTGAAGTTTTAATAACAGACTATATTTCAGAGTGTCGAGCGTGTGATAATTCAACCGCCCAGAACTTTTAAGGGAATTTTATAGAAAGAGAGGATCAGATCAACTCTAATGTATTCTGAAAATTGAAAATATTATGAAACTTACATGAAAGAGGGAACTAACAACGTAAGTAACGAAAATTGCAGCTGCAGAACCATATTTTCTAGTCTCTCCAAAAATATCTGTAGATAGAATTACAGATTTTATTTGGTTCAAATGAACTTGAGAGTGATAGATAAAAGTGTTGCTTACACTGATGCAAAAATCGGTGCATTGGTATATTCCATGAAACAACAACATCCACAAGCGAACGAGGCAGTTCGATATGAATCCAGTCAGCGACAATACCCGAATCAATACCGGACAGTAATGAAGTACCCGCAGAGAACCAGCTTACAAAATAATGACTAAATCGAAATGATTGAGCAACAAAGTATGCTCCAACGAAAGGCAATTCTATAAAACTATCGGCAATGCACGACGAATAGATAACAGCGAACAATGATAGAGCAATGTAGCTGAGACCACGGAAAAAATTAATAATTTCTGCCTGGAATTATCTCTACCAACGTTCGATTACTTTTATTTTTTAAGCCCTTAAATAGAAAAAACATTCAGGATTTCCATCTTTTTTCAAATAAGGAAATAAGAAATAAATACCAGACTTACTTTGAATTCCTTCAGATACAACGAATCTTGGTATTGTCTGTAAGTAATCCATGGACCAAACAATACAGTTGAACTATCAAATATATAGGAGAGTAAGTGCAACAATGTGATGTTGCCGTAAAATTCATTGGCAAAATCAAACGATAGTGAAGTAATTTTCATTAGCACAATCATTAGTATACCACGCATTGACATAAATTCTTTAGCCGTAGAAAAATACTGCCTATATATTTATAAAATTATTCATACGCAGCTTACAAAATAATTAAGTCGACAGAGAATATCAGTAAGTAGATGGGCAACAAAATTAAATCTCTTTAATTTTAGATTTCAACACGTTCTAAATATCAATTGAAAAAGAAAAAACAAAACACCACTAAAATGACCGCTGGAGTCTACGAATCATCACACATATAAAAATGAAGCTCACCAAACTAGAAGCATACCGATCGAATACGCCAACATCACAAACTTAGTCTGCTTGTTGAAGAGGAAGTTATAATACGGAAATACAACAGTCAATGCAATATATATACAAATCGACGATAAATTATTTTGGGTTCCTATTACAAACAGCCCAGAAGCTACGAAGGTTAAATGGAGTGTGAATTTACTTACTATCTCTGAAACGACTTTCAAACAGTTTAAAAAAATGAACAATACAAGACAGAATGTAAGGCTATTAAGTGATTAAAAAAGGTTCAAACTAATAAAAAAAAATAAGTAACAGTAATTTAAATGAATGTGACACTGACCTCAAATTTGTACATAAACTTAATTTGCATGCATTAGATTTGAAGCGAATGTTTACCTCTAGCATGTAAAAATACGAGAAACCGTTTCAGAGCAGAAAATAGCAATAGTTTTACTATGGTACCACACAAAGAATCAAGCACACTTATTGGACATCGCTGCCATTGATGAGTGGTATCATCTTTAATATACATGAAGTCGGTGAATTCCTCATCAGATAACTCCAAAGCCTCATCGTAGAACCATATTTCTTCGTCAGCCGCTGAAACTGCCATCCAGTTGCAGTTTGATTTACAAAATAGTGCTGGTTGTCACTTCTGAAATGAACTAATCTAACAAAGATGCTGTCTTAAAGTTTTTCTCTATAGTCATCCCCACTAAGAGTAATTATTGTAGTTTAACTGTATGAACTGTGTTAGGGTAATACATTTTGGGCAATGAAATAGAACGATTAAGTTATTATACATTTAGAATGAATCACTCGAAATGTAAAGTGATCAAATCATATCTAAAACCAACCGGTATAAATTTGCGGTGAATCAGTCAAATTTCAGTCAGTTGAACTGAACCGTTTGAGAAAATAGGAATGGCTAGACCTTCGTTCATTCCAAAGGAACCTTAAAAATTTCTCACTTTCCATATCCAAAGTAGACGAAGTATGATGTTATGGGGCAGAGAGTGAAATGAACTCTACAAAGGTATCTCCAGATGACAATCTGTAGACTTCGAGTTGGTGCCACCGATTAAGGAAAGAGTGTGAAGTCGTAACTATCAGTTGTCATTGACAGGTGGGATTCATATTAAAGAATAATGGATATCTTGTAGTAATAGTGGATTGCAGAGACTAAATGGCGCAACGATGACAACAGGGACAGTATCTACTTGTTTGGCTACAGCAGCAGATATCGCTTGCATAGATCCTCTTATTGGCAGTGATCTCTGTCCTCTTCTTCGGGTACAATTCATTTTCTCTTTTTTTTGAAATATTTCATTTCCTCATTTCTGATGAATGAATTCATTTTCTAACATAAATGTAGTATATTAGTTTATTTTCGCATAAATTGTTCAGCAATTCGGTACAGCGATGAGCAAAGCTCGGTTCGATGATGCTCGAGGACTGATTGAATCATTTCGAGGAACGCGAGTTCCAATATCATCTAGTGCGGAAGATTGTCTTTGCCACTTGCTTCTTTCTGCTTGTATTCAGGTTGTTAATCTTTTACAACACAGAGATTCTGAGAAGAGGATGATGCATCTAAAAGCTTTCTTTTCAGATAGTAAAAGCAGAGAGCGCATATTATTCCCTAAATTTTATGGTAACAAAGGCCTTTTTTCGACGAGAAAGCACTCTATTGTTAACTTATACACAGATCAAGTGACCTCTTCATCTAATTCTTTCCACATCTAATGTTTTTTTCTATTTATTTTGAATTTTTGAGCTGAACCTTTATGAGTAGACAGTTTGACGTTTAATATGATTGAGTAAATGCCTTGATAAGACGGTATAGCAAAATCATGAAGGTTCTAAAAAATTGATATTTGAACCTTCATTGAATTGGTTTAAATTAGCATTGTCTAGGTAATTATATTATCAAAAAATTCTTATGGATTTATAAGAGCAGTTTTTATATTTCAGGGCCGAACTATGTCAAATGGATGATGTAATAGGAAATGCTAAGATTTCAGCAGCAGAGGATATTAGACGACGTCTGATTGATTTTACCAGTGCCAGAGTTTCAATGATTAATGTTTACAATTCATTTCTAGTTGAAAGTAATATTCTTCCATACTTATTACTTACTGCTTTACACTAAGCATTATTAATCTTAACTTTTCATGTGGCGCCAATATTTTGTATTTATATTTTATATTATTCAGGGTATTTCGGCCTAGTTACCATTAAAAGCATTTAGATTTTGGTCTTCCAAGTGAACTGACAGCTTTGACGACAGTCCTTTCATCGGTCGAACATCTACTAATGCTTTTAGTTAACCATGAATCGCTTACATTTTTATTTACTTTTGTCATTAACGAGGTAGTGGTAATGAAACTGCTTTTGGAGGTACAGCTGGCTCTCATACGATGTGAGGTTCTGTTTTTGTCGTTTCGTAAAGCCCAGCCATTTGAATTAAAATGGCACCTCAGCTCTTTATGAACTTATAAGTTTCTGTGAGTAAGTATTTCTTTACCTAATAAAGTATTTCAGTTCTTGCAGTCACTGATTAAGTTGAAGAGTGCACACATTAAACTCCAGTCTTGGTTTAATTCTGTCGGTTATAAGCATGCACAAATCAAAGCAACAGCGAAGTTCTTTGGTCTCGGTAATGACTTATATTTTAAAGTTTTAGTTATTAATCTTTTTCACTTATTAGCTTTGAAAGTAAAGGAATTTGCTTCGTAGTTTTTATGGCAAACTTTTAACATTGCAATTTCAGGACCTCAGGTTCAGTGTTCTTCTTTGAGACTATGTGGTTGGACTTATGAATTTTACATGCTGTTATTGGCGAAGTTTTCCCTATATTTCCATGATTCGCTACAGCCACAATGCTCATCAGGTGACTTTGATCATGCAATTAGTGTTATGAAATCACCGAATTTTGTTCAATTATTTGCTACATTTCGTCGCAAAATGGAGCCTTCATATATTCTCTTGATTGCTAATCGTTGCGATGCTTCAGATATATCACCTCGTTTGTTTTGCTACCTATTATTTGTTTAATTTTTATTGTCGATTTTTCCGCGTTCTCAAATTTTTATTTTTCTGTGTATAATCCTTAAAACAATTGATTTCTAGACTTAATGAACTTTAATGCGTCATCATGTATATTTAAAATTCCCATTACTTTTGTAATTACACCTAATCCCGTTTTTGTTTCCTTTTTCTTGCTTGAAGTATTCAAAATATTTTCTATATGATTTGTTTACTTCACTTTTCTTATCATTACGTATTTGAAAAAATAAAATAATTCCAGAACTATGTTTTCAGTTATTGGTTATGGCTGCGTATCTGATCTTGACGATGGAGAAGGTGAATTGCGAAAGAAATTTTTAGTTTTTTTCAAAATAGGTGGTGAAGCAAAAGAAATGAATATATTGCTTCCGTCGATTTCTATACTTATACAAGAAGCAGGTGCTAAAAAGTCTGGAACAGATCGTATTACATACTGTTATGATCAACTTATGTCCAGGGTACGACTTTTATTTTGCATGTATAGAAATAAGAATTTGCACAGGTTGTCTAAATGCCAGAATAAATTCAACATCAATATAAAGGTAAAATGAGACAAACTTTGGCAGAGGTTTTTCTTCAGTGTTTCTCAGTGAGCTCAAGTGTATGTATGTGGAACAACCGCTTTAGTCATGTTAGTCTCAGTGGTTGTGCTAATGCAATTTTTTTTAAATCTTGTTCTTTTCATAGATAGGCAAAAATGGATAGTTCTATAAAGAAATACGAGAAATTTTTCAACTGTTTGCATATTTAAAGCTATTAATTTGTTTAGATTGCTTTCTTTATGTTTTTTTTTTTTTTTTCTTTCTTTCTAGAGCTTCTTCGTATTATTGGTGGAATATAATTTATATATAACGATTATTTTTGATCGAAGAGTTAGCGAACGTGATAATACAGTGGTTAGCTTTCTGTTGAATAGTTGCAGTCAGTTGCGATGCACTAAAATCTGTCAAAGTTGGCGGAAATTTTCAACATAGTTTTTTCTAAAGAAAGTTGTATTATTCTGCATTATTTTTATTTTGCCCGATTATATAAATGTTTTTTAATATTTATTATATATCACATTTTCATATTTTCTATGGCTTTATGTAAACATTACTTCATGGTCAATCATTCTACTCCCTGACTCATTCTACTCCGCTGGAGTAAATATGGATGCTTCTCCGAGACATTATAAAACTACATTTCAATTTTATTTCGAAGGAAAAACTAGTCTCTGGAATCGGTAACAATTGAAGATTGTCTTATTCTTAACCGGAAATTACTAAACTTTGTTTGAAGGACAGGTGATTTTTATTGAGAATTATATAAGAATTATATGGGAATTACATTCTTATTGAAAAAATTATATATTTATTGAGTCCGAAGCAAACATGTGTAAATAGGAATATATGCTTTGCTGTTGAACAATGCCTGTTTTTCTTGTTTTGTACCGAGATTTACTTGCATATATGATTATAATACTCCTGGAATTTTTATTTGAAAGTGATGAGTCCCACGGTTCAAGCTCTTCAACCATGTGGAACAATGAGTTATTTGCGTGCATGAGCAAATACTTTAGAACATTACATGCAGAAGTAAAACATGAATTATCTTCATTGGCTTTTGACGTAGTTGCTAGTGTTGCTCAGAGTTTGAAGAAATCCGTGTGAATCTATGACATTAGTAGTTCGTGAAGAGTTATAGTTTTAAATCAACAGACCATGTTGCGATTGTTCGATAGTTGTGAGAACACTTCACTTGCAATCATATCCTTCAGCAGTTGTTTTTTCTGTTTTTTAAAACTGCATCCCTGCATTTAAATGGCAATGCTTTTAAAGTGGTATTAGTTTTCTGTTGCAGTTTATTTATGACAAAATGAACTGAATACGAAGTAATCCTAACTTAGGCGCAGATAATAACAGCGCACAATAAAAATATGGCTACATTGTTCATAGTCTTTTTCATCCTACTTGACCTTTGCTCTTCTGGACAGAGCGTGCATTTCTTGACATTATCATTCAGAAATACATACTATCAAGAGTTTGCTTGATTGAGTTGTTTCACCTGGATGAGCAATTTTTCGAAGTGGTGAGAGGAGGTTTGGACTGCATACAATGGAAGCGGTTGAAGTGTTAGTTCTGTTTTAAAATTATCAGCGATTAATATTTGTAATTCATGGAATTCACCGAAGTACAGGTTCAAATATAAATCATAATAACGTGAAGCTATTAAAAAGTTCTTAAATCTCTGACTTTCAAACAAAAAATATGGTGGGTCATTGAAAGGAAATTCTGGTCCTGATCACTAGTTAGTTTCGACAGTTAATAGCAAATGATACCCTAAGTGATAACTCAGCAATCCTGCTGTTTTGTAGTCGCGAAGATTTAACTAAAATCTGTGAGAACATGATCAGTGGCGCACATGATTTGCATATGTTAACACTTATTCGTTCCATTTCATTGTACTCTTCGCTCCCACACATCAGGAAGTTCTTTTCAGCAATATTTAACAGCTCATTTCACTATAAACTCGAAGTTTCCCCTATTTCTGTTAGGAACACGTGTGACATCAAGTGAAAGACAATAATAAACGAGACACTGTAATGCCGTGCTACCAAATATCCCCTGTCGTCGCATGACAATAACGCTTCGCTCTTCATTCCTCCAAAGCACGCTTGCAACGATATCGTGTGGCGCATAATGACAAGTTAAGCGTCGTTCTCTGCTGCTGTCACCGTTTGTCACCCATCACCATGAGTAGTGTGCCTACCCCTTATATCAGGTGGGTCACAGCAACAGGACAAGCCTGTACAATCAACTTGTCACCATCTCTCCCACACATCTCTCGCCAGTATAGCCAATTTAATGCTCTCACTTCGCTCACTCTCGTCTTGTCTCTGTTCCTCATCCTTCTTCCTTTGTATGTATGCGTCTTCGTCTTCTGATCTGTCTGTGTTTTCACCACATTCTCTATTGATTCTTCAGTACGTCGTGCATGGACTATCTCCGTCGTCTCCCTGTCTGTCTTACACAGACGCAGATGCACACAATATACATATGACACAGTCATAACGCTATCGATTCACGAGACTATGCTTTGTTAACTGTAAGGGCTGAGTAGTTGCTGCTACAATAAGGGCTTCCTACTCCAGGCTTTCTTATTGTTTGCTGTTTGTGATTTCATTTATTGGAGTTGCACTTATTTACAACTTCGATGATGGATCGTTACTTATTATATCTGCTTCAAGGCTATTACCTTGCCTCAGTCGAGGTTCGATTATTCTAACGAATAACTGGCGTCAACAAAGTCACTAATTAATTGATCAACTGTCAGCCATAGCTTAATGCTTAGTGTCATATATGGGAAGGAGTAAATGTCTCTACTGCTTTATCAATTCCTCTTTCAGTTTTTATTGATCAAAGCTTACTCGACATCATTTTTACCTAACACTTAACAAGAATTCTGCATTAATATTTTCTTGAAGAGTCAAATGAAGAATTTGAACGACATTACTGTTACTGAGTTCACCTCTAACATTGTGGCTGATTGTTGTCCATAATTCACTGGTAATAACCGAAGTTAGTGATTTGGCGACCAAATAAGATTCCACTGCAGATGTTCAAAGATTTGTCTTCTTTAAATTATAGAAGCTGCTTCATATTTTTTCATCCTTTATTTTTAATGACGCGTGTATTGGCCTTTACACATTTCTGTCCTAATTATGTTACGTCACGTTGCACATCACAGCTCTCATTAAGTTGAAGTTAGGTAGAGCCGAAATTTAACTCTTGGCATTTCAATACTGTTAGGACTTTCCTCATTTAAAGTTAGAATTCGGTACACACTGGTTGTGCTTCCACTAATTAGTTCGTTTTATCCTTTTCTCTACATTTATAAAAGTCTTTAACATATGTCTATCTCGAACAACGGAAAAGAACTAGCGAATGCCGTGGGATACTGATTTAGAAAACTTTTGGAATAGAATGTTCGGTGAAGAGAATCGTCACGAAAAACTAAGTTCACAGATTAGTTCCCATCTTTCCATTTTTCATAGTACAAACTTTCATTCTAAATTTCCAATTTAATTTGTATGGGCTCTTTCCAATCCTTATTATTTAATAAGTATGAAGGACAAAACTCTCAGTCTGCTTATCATCTTTTTTTTTGGGTGTGATTGAGTTCAGTAGTTCATGTAAAAGAGGTGAAAAGGATATTAAGCCACGCGGTCAGACTCAGCTGCTTTTTTTTTTTGGAGATTACACTGGTTTCAGTATGAGCCAGAAAAGTGAATCCTTTTTGCAAACAAAATATGGAAGGTAATATCTATTAGAGAGATATTGCTTGGGATTACTTCTCTAAGATATTAAAAAATTTTGAAATAGGCGAGGAACAGAGGACTGTCCGTGCGTTCTTTTCTCATTTCCTTTCAAAGATTCCAATTTTCGTTTGCGCGCAAAAGTTTCAGTTTCTTCAGCATATAATATTTTGCAATATTGCACCCTTCGTTTTTCATTTGTTTCCATAAGACAAGCACAATCAAAGAGAATCTTTTTGGGCCTAAGTTGTATCACACCATTTGACGTAAAATGTTCCTTGCTTAGTTACTAGTCTTTTAGTATTTCATCTTTTCGTACTAATTCTGTCTTTTTATGCTCACCCTAGAAAATACAACTCAGTTTTTATACGTCTTAAGTTTTACCAAATTCACCATAGAATGCTTTAGCAAAAATTTTTTCGAGGTCGCCAATTTGTCACTTTGGTTGATTGTTTGTTATCAGTTGAAGAATTTACTATTTATGGTGAAGAATATTTATGATAATTTTATGGCACAAACACTAAGGTGATAAACTGATAAGCTACTTTAATCTTTGTCCTCTTGTCATTATATGGAAATACTAAACTTCAGTGCTTTTCAAATTCTTCAGTCTTTTTATATAATGTTGCCTTTTTCCAATTCATTTATATACGGAGAATAATCGGCCGGTTTTAAATAATAAAGCCGTAATAGCTTTAGCATCTTTTTTTTTAATAAGAAGATTTCTTGAGTAGAAATCAATCAATATTTGCAACATTACACCCTCAGTCGTTAAAGAAGTTGCATTGATGAATTGAGAGTCACGCGGTGAGGTACGTGTATACACCCATCCACCAGAAGCTTGTCTTCTGAAGATAGAATAGCACTGCAAGATAGTTTTTTCCTGATACTTCCGAAATACATGCACTTGATATCCGGAAATACTGAAAAATGTTTATATTGGGGCTTCATTTGCATTTATAAGCAAAGAGTCTTTGAAAAGAATAAAAAATAAGCTAATTGTTGCAAGTTAATTCATTTGTGGTTGCTTGCCCACACCTTTCTCATCTTCATTTCAAGGACACGAAAATTCGCTTTCTGCATTATGCATTGACACTTGGTCAATCAGGGTTTTTCCTTTTTTCTCCCTCTTCCCCTCTCCTTCGTTTTTGAATTCTCTTGTATTTCCCATACGAATGTGTTCGGTCCCGGCATTCTTTTTTATTTCACCACTTGCTATATTTGCAATAGCTGTTTTTCCTCGTAAATTATTTTTCCTATTTTTTCAAGCGATCTTTCTCCCTTCTTCTGTCACCCTCTCCCTCTCCAGTATAAATATTTTACCCATTGTACTATAATGTTGAGATTTTGAGCTTTGCGTCTATTTTTATTGCTCCAAGTCCAGCTCTTCACTGAATCGTTTTCCGGTATTTCAAATTGTATACCACATTTACTAGCATTCTGTGTTTTTAGGGTGCAATTATTTCTATCTTTACATTGATCGAATGTTTCAAATTCATCATTTAAATGATCCTCACTTCACTGATTCGTTTCCTGGTTTTCACTGTTTAGAATTCTTCCATTCTGTTATGTTATCTAGATATGGCGTATACAACCTTTTCATTCCATTTTGGTTTCATTCTCAAATTTGAATGCACTTCTTTTTTATCTGAAAAATGGGAGGATATATTGTCGCTTCTCCTACTTTCATTTTCATTACTGTCTCTGGAATCTGTTATAATTTAAAGTAACGGAAGAAATGAACACTCCATCATAATTTAATTAAATTACGAGAGGGTTAAAAAGTGTTTTATCATTCAGCGCTAATCATATGCTGCAGAACTGTAAATTGATAAGATGAACAGGACAAACATGCAATCCAAATCGAAATACACGCCACTGTCTGCTTGTCAGACATTATGTGACAATGTGAAAGAGCAGCATAAGCGATGACATAAAAAAAGGGAACTAAATCCTAATGCAAGAGTTAATTCTTACCCAACTACTTTGGTTGTGCTCTTTGGTCTTTTATTTCTCAACGGATTTTAACATTTTGCACTTTGAGAAACTAAGATTTCAGTGAATGTTAAGGAGAGCAATGAAAATATAAAAAACTGATGAATTAATTTTGGAAGTATCTCGAAATCGAATACCACCTTGAACAATGGCAGAGCAAAAGAATAATTTAATTTTTGTAATATGTCGATAATGGCTAGCTGACATGGTCATATATTTGCGGCCAAAAATGACATCGGATTGGTGACAAAGAATGAAATCATGCAAAGTAGTTGAAAGTCTGTAAAAGCGACAAGAAATTTTCGACAGAAATGCACAAAATCTCGTATGTTCTTAGAGAGGAGCTGTATAGAGTAGTCCCAAACTTTGATTCTTTATTTATTCTTGCAGTATTATGAATTATCATTCCCCTATTGAGTAAAGAACATCTGAACAAATTTTCAACTTTGGTTAATATGAAAAAAAGGGACGGTCCTGAACCCATTGCCCTTATTGTTAGTGAACTATGCTGGCCTACTTATAAATGTTTTGGAGATCGTTTTCATACTTGTGATGGGATTACTGAGCTAGTCACTGTTCGTTTTAAAAGTTAATGAAGCTATCGCCTACCTTAACAAAATCATTAATTGTGTGTTGCCTTTCTATGAGCAAAGATAATTTAAAACATGTTTTGCCATGAGGCCTATGTAAATGTGGGAAATGGAAATAGAATGTTTGGTCTTCAAGCCACAAGATATCAGACTAATCTCGAGGAAATATTCTGAAGATGAATGATATTTTCTCTTAGGCATTTGGTAATTGGTAATTGTTCATTAAGGTAATTGTTATATATGAAGGAGGTGAATATATCCGTAATGGTGGCCATTTCGTCGCTCAAATTATAATTTCTTTTTCACTGTAATAAAATTTTAGAAGTTTAAGGTCTTTCCAAGAAACTTATTTACAAAGACTAGGCTCGAATTCTCACAGGACGTGAATTCTCGCACGGCCTTCAATTTATGTAGATGATACCTTTTATTCCATTTCAAAAGGGAAGAATTCACCGCATGTGGCAGTAATTCCTTCAGTAGTACTTGTACAAATTCGGTATGAAGAAAGTTGTTATTTTCGTATTCAATTTATTATTATGAAGCACAGGAATGGTTGTAGTTCATTAAATATTTTCTGAACAGACTGAATAAAAGATAAAGAATCTATTGGATGAGAAAAGAAAGTTAAATAATATTTTACATACTGGTCGGTGCAAGCTGTAAGCATATCCGGCATTCGTATAATCGTAAAGGATGAAATTGCGTAGCAGTATCCATTCCTGAAATGCCTAGCTTATATCTTATTATTTTACAATCTTAAATCGTTGATTAATTACACAGCTTGGTTTTGAAATCCAAGAATCTGAAAAATTGGAGAGACGAAAGTGAGCTAGGATCAGCTCAAAATCACGATTAACTTCTATTATTATTTGCAAAAGCTGAACTTATAAACTTTCTTCCATGTTAGGTTGGTTATATTTTCAATGATGACAAAATGTTACTGAGAAAATGATGGATAAAGACTGTTGTGCTAGAGAAAGTTGCAAACAGTTCAAAATTGAAATCGATTAGCTTAAGAGTTATAGTGAGGATGATTTCTGCATAGTATTTAGAATTCGAGGAAAATTAGAAATTAGAACGGGGACAAGATAGACTGAAATTCCTTTATCCGTAGTATCCTTGATCATCTCTCTGACGAAAAATATTGGGAAGAAAGCGGGCAGTGAAAAGATTGGAAAATATTCCGCTTCCAAAGAATGAATAGGGCCAAACAGAGTGTGATTTTATAACATTGTATACATTTTAAACTTTTTAATGCGATTTAAATGATTGGTATTGTGTAGTCCTGTGTTCAGATATCTTAAAGAGTCACTGTCACTGCTGTTGCAGTTCATTTGCTTTGCATTTTTATCGAACTACATTACCTAAGAAGTAGAACAAACGAATGAAACAGGAGAGTGACTTATTACAATGTCTAAAGGAAGCATTCTCACTCTTCCACCAACTCATTCCTCTTATTTCGGCATCTTTTTATTACGAATTACTTTCGTTCCTAGAGAAGCGCTTGTTTTGCGAGTTCGGTCTTTATCAAAGGCTTGGTAGTTTTTTTCTCGTTGTTTTTTTTTTTTTTTTTTCGTGCATTGATGTTTTATGTTTAATGACACCGCAATTGTTCCATGATTGAATTATGTATTGGCAGTTTTAGTCAGTATTAGAAGCAGAAAAGATGGAATGAATGGCATAAGAGAGAAGTAGTTAATTGTTACAATTTGAAGTAGCACAGAATGAATTATAGTTAGAGTCTGCTTATTTTCGCTACTTCAGGTTTTTGATTACAGAAATTTCTGATATTTCACTCATTTCAATAATTTAAAACGAATCAGGATTCTGTAATGTGCAGCAAAAGTTCGTTTAAGATTCATTTAAAGGTCTCATTCTTCTTCAAAAATCAATTTTTTTCATTGCAGTGTTGGAAAGCATGCATAAAACCGGAATAGATCTCGTATATGACAACTAAATAAACTAATTGTTTACAACATATATTTTGATTAAAATGTATCCTTCTCCAAAATAATTACATCGTTGTTCTGCAGAATCTCCTGGAAAACATTTAAATTCATTTAAAGGCCTTTTTGTGTCGTATGTCTATTCTATTCATCAACTATTGAATGTAGAATCAAAAGTTATTATAAATAATTTATTTATTCATTCATTTACTATTTATTAGCATTGATTTTTTTAATTAGCTCGTTTTAAAATTTGGTCTTTATTTCCCGGCATTGCTAAGTTGCATTTTTTTTTTTTTTTCAGGAGAGGAAGTGCACTTTCTACTAGCAAAGTAAAGTAGCTAGGAAGGAATAATCGAATACACACACTGTCATTAACTCTCAAAAGGCATTTAAAGAATGCCATTTTCATGCTTGCCTTTTTTTGCCTGCAACAGGCAGGTGGACATGTTAGATCGCCGACAATGTAATCTCCAATCGATACCGCATGATATTGATCGTAATGCGCGAACACTGGAAGAAATGTACTTGGATTGCAATCATATCAAAGATCTGGATAAGGTTTGGTTTGTGACAACCTTTTGCCAGTATAAAAGTAAAAAGCTTTTTTTTTTTTTTCTTTTCTGGTGGACTATTAAACTTGTGTAAATGCGCTATGTAAAACATTACTTTTTTTTATCCATTTATCTTCTTTCATTACTACTATGGTGCCGTAAACAAAACAAAAGAAAAAAAAAAAAACAAGAAGTCAAGGCTATACAGTTATCTGGCAAGGTCGCTCTTATTTACCGTGCATCTACATAGTCCTGACAACTGTACTATGATTTGCAAAGATATGTCATGGTCAAGCATAAAACGTGACTTTAATTGCATTCCTCAAGAGATGCAAATAGTATGTTTTTATCGATTCTTAGCCAATTAAATAACAATATATGTATAATATTGCAGCCACTATTTCGGTGCCGAAAATTAAAAATTCTAAGTTTGAGTGAAAATGAGGTTATTCGTTTGCCTTCCGACATTGCTCATCTTACTTATCTCGAGGAGCTCAATCTTAAAGGGAACGGTAAGTGCCAATGATTTAAGAAATTTTTAAATGAGATGAAATGAAGCAAATAAAGTTGTGAGAAAAACGAAAATTATTTGACAAATTTTCTTTTAATAAAATTTTTACCACTTTCCATTTCTAATCCATCCTGTGCGATAAAATAAAAGGTTTTTTGTCTTTCTTTTCATAAAATTTATATTTCTGCAGATGTTTCGGATCTTCCGGAAGAAATAAAAAATTGTATTCAGTTGAAGATTCTTGATCTTAGCTCAAATCCTATTACAAGGTTAGTAATCTTAAAAAGAAATTTAAGACTCTTTTATCCACCTCTGTTTGATCCATTAATCTAGTATTACTTGTCTACTGTTGTTTGCTTTCATGTTCAATAATTCAAATTTTACCAGAATTTGGTAAAGGAAAAAAATTAAGGAACTCAAAAAATTACAAGATAAAGGGTCATTAGATTAATGTTTGCTCTAGAGTATAACTATCAAATACAAAAAATGTTGTTTAGGCTGCCACAGACAATAACTCAATTAACATCTATGACAAGCCTTGGTTTAAATGACATTTCACTTACTCAAATGCCCCACGATATTGGTCATTTGCGAAATTTGCGATCTCTCGAAGTTCGCGAAAATTTACTGCGAACAGTACCTCCATCAATAAGCGAATTAAACCAGCTGCGAAGACTAGATCTTGGCCATAATGAACTTGATGATTTGGTTAGTTTCGTAGTTTTTTTCAAGTCTGTCGTTTATTTTTGAATCTATTAAAGCAAAAGTTATAATGTGTTAAATATCTGACAAGTTTTTTATTTAAATTCATCTGTTTTGTTCTAAATTTCAGCCAAACGAAATAGGTATGTTGGAGAATTTGGAAGAATTATATGTTGACCAGAATGATTTGGAAGCTCTTCCCGAGTCGATTGTCCAATGCCGTTCATTGGAACAACTGGATGTTTCCGAAAATAAATTAATGGTATTGCCGGATGAGATTGGAGATTTGGAAAAGTTAGACGATCTTACCGTTGCTCAGAATTGTCTGCAAGTGCTGCCGAGTTCGATTGGCAAGTTCTGCCCACATTTTCTCAGACTTTTAAAAACCACTTGGACGAAAAGCGTCGAAAAGCGTGTTTTCTTCTAGTGGTGATTTTTTGTTGGGAAGATTAGCGAAATCAGACGTTTTTCAATGTTATTCAACTGAAATATGGTTCCTTGTTTGAATGTTACCTGACTCAGATGAAATTGCGTCCTATGAAATGATTAATTGTTGTAAAGGCTTTAAACGATTTTTTTAAGTGAAATTTACAGTTTATTATAGAAAATGACCGTTAGCAATCATATAGGATTAATATCATTTTTTAAAACTTTTTTTCTGGGAATAATAATGATATATTCTCCAACAATGACATAGTTACAGGACGCTTGAAAAAACTGTCTATACTGAAAGCAGATCGTAATGCAATTACGCAGTTAACGCCAGCAATTGGTAGCTGTCATGCATTAACAGAAATTTATTTAACTGAGAATTTGCTCACAGTAAGTTATCGTCTCTTTCATTTTTGATGTTTGTGATTAAATTTTTTAATGGATGAAAATTGATTATGAAATTAACTCCAAACACATAAAACCCATGAAGTTCATACTTAGGTAAACAATACAACGAATTTTCAGGAAATTCCAAGTTCACTGGGTAATTTGAAAAGCTTGCGGACGCTTAATTTGGATAAGAATCAGTTAAAAGAACTTCCTCCTACTGTTAGTGTAACCATAGTTATTTGCACAGAATCACGTTGTTGATTTTGTGCTTTTTTTAGCGTCACATTTGCGTTTTTTTCTGTTCCCTTGCAAAAAAAATCTTTCATTAAGACGATTTTAAAAGTCGTCCTGAAAAGCATGAAAGTGATATCGCTAGAAATGCGACCTATTTTCAGAAATAGCTTGTTTCAGATTGGTGGTTGTACATCTTTATCAGTTCTTTCACTTCGTGATAATTTAATAGAACAACTACCACTTGAAATTGGGCGGCTTGAAAACTTGCGAGTACTGGATGTTTGCAACAATCGTCTCAATTATTTACCGTTTACAGTAAATGTTCTTTTCAAATTGAGAGCTTTGTGGCTGTCTGAGAATCAGGTGAGAACCACTGTGATCGTTTTAAATGTAACGTCCGAAATCATTGTTTTGATTTTTTTTTTTAGAATAATCCTATACATTATTTTTCTCCTGAACGATTCAGTGAAATGGCCTCATCAATATACAGTTTACTAGTCCTTCTTTAATAAGCTTGACTTATTCTATTTTGATATTCCTAATTGAATCCTATATCTTTGAATATTTTTGTTTGTCTTACTACCATTATTTAAGTCACAAGCAATGTTGAAATTGCAAACGGAACAAGATCCAAGGACAGGAATCAAAGTTCTAACTTGTTATCTCTTGCCGCAAAGCAATTCTCAACTTGGTATTTGAAATTTCCTTATTTTTGATATTTTTCGTTACCTCGAACTAATTATTAAATGGATGACAGATCACATTTGCATTAAGGATTGTTTTTACAGTAGAACAAGCTCCGCCAAGCCGTTCGTTTATCGGTGGTCCAAAAGTACATTTTGGTAGTGATCTGGAAGAAACGCATGAAGATGAAGAAAATGAATTAGGACAGTTTTCGCGACATGACACTCCTCATCCAAAACCGCACTCCCATGCACCAAAATTCAAAAAGCAGTCTATTGATGGTCACATCATTCATCATGATGATGATGTAAGTAGCACATCATAAATTTTTTTTCACAGTTCAGTGATGGGTACAGTCTTTACTGGTCTATTTAAGAGATTGCAGTGAATTAATAATTGCATTCTAGTTTTAAGTAACTTCAAGTAAGACCATTTTTTTAATTTTTTAGGTTAATAGGGAACTTGAACCGTTTTTTTCAGGATTTATAGCGGTACGTTGCTTACAAGACCTATCGGAGGTTTGCGCACGCCATTTTCCCTAGCGACAAGTTTTGTTGCTTACTGTTTTTTTTGCACTGCTAAAGAGCTTCCGTGCCGTTATGCTTGATGAAATTTATAGGAATTTTTTCCATCTAACGATCTTTTTGCAATATAACGAATAAGTTAATGAATAGGAGATGATTTTTTTTTTTCGTTTCATGCTAATTTATCTGGGAGACATGCTAAACTGAAATGATTCCTGTTGATATGATTTGTTTACTGATGCCATTCTTAATGTATCCAAATAGAGTGAGACTCTATGTTTTGCATGTTTTTGGTGTCTTATTAACTCAGTTTTTAATTTTCAATTTTTTCCTTTTTTGAACTGGTTACTCTTTCTCTCATTTTCAGCAGTCCACAAAACCACCAACGCTGACGTTAAATTCTGCTCGAAAGCGTGGTACTGATGAAGGTTCACCTCGTGCTCTGTCTCCAACTGTACCCGCAGATACCCAGATTACTTCACTTCGAAGTGCACTAAAGCATCCACCTGTACTTCCATCAGCCAATAATTTTGATCACAGTGTAAGCTTTCATCTCTTTATATTTAATCTTTTGATTTATTGCTTTCATTTATGGAGGAAAGATATGACTTACTGGGTCCATCGATCACTTGTCATTCTAGAGATATTTTTGTTATGCTTTATCGTATGAGACAGATCGAGTTTGAAAATGTTTATGGATTATTGCGATTGATTTCATTAAAATTTAGATGTTGTACTTCGGCTTATGCTACTGCGAAACTGTTAAATTCACAAATTTGGGTGCAAATTAATTTATGATTAATGTTTTTTGGCTGTGTTATGGGAAGTTATTTCATTATTCAAACAAGAGCTATCATATGGCAACCTATAAAACTCTTAGTTTAAGGAACTTTTGCTCGACAGACATATTAGGAAGTCTTAGATAGTAGGATTTTTTTTTTTTTTTTATTAAACAGAAGCAAATATTAGTGATAAGAACATGCCAGTTGCTTACGACGAAAGATATAGTATACGGTTGAAGTGGTTCAACACTCCAACTACCTATTCTGCATCCATCTCAGTTAACAAATCTCTGTAGCTTAGTTAATGTTAAATAATTGTTTGAAACATTCTATGAACAAGCAAGTAGTTTTTTGACATAGTTTTTGACTGCTGAGTTTTAAAACAAGATCATTTTTCAAAAATCTAATGAAAATTAACCATAAGTTAAGTATATTCTGCATCAACCTCAGCATAGTTACAGAAACTTGTTTAGAAAACTTACGAGAGTCCTCTTTGAATATCTTATTTTCATTCTGACAATAAAACTTACGGTTTCATTTTACTGTAGTGTTATGCCACTGAAAGTTTCTTTTTGGAACAGTCATTCTTTTAGTGATTTTTTGTTAAATGAAGTCTTTATTTGAATCCTTAAATGATTTTCAAAACTTTAGGTCGTACTTGGAGAAGACGTATGTGTCCTTACGCGCTTCTATTTTTTACTTCGACCCACATTATTTTAAGTATTACTGCCGTGATTGGTTTGTTTCATGCACCACTTTCAGATTGAACGCATAGTAGATCAACGACAAAAGTTATCACCAGGTGTTGAAATACTGAATATAAAAATTCGTCGTGATACAAATGGAGGTCTCGGCTTGTCCATTGCTGGTGGTTTGGAATCAACACCTTACAAAGTCAGTTTGAAAAGAATGTCACTTAAACAAGTTTTTGCTGAGTTAGTTTAAGATATTATTCTGTACTATTTCAGGATGATGATACTGGTTTATTCGTTTCAAAACTTACTGATGGTGGCCCGGCAATGATTGCGGGACTGCGAGTTGGTGACAAGCTACTTCGTGTTAATAAAACTGATGTAGTCAATGTACGCCATCAGGCATGTTTTCTTACTCTTCATTCATATTTGCTGAACTTCTGAAATATTAAGAATAAACAATGTTTCACATTACTATTTTCGTTCATAAAATAACATTACGTGAAAATAATCCATGTTGAATTTCACTGAGCAGTTTCTTCTATATTTGATGTTCAGGTAGCGGTAACATCAATGCAGGATGCTCGAGATGTCGTAGAGTTGACAGTTTTGCGTGATTCGCGTGATACGCTGTCTTCCTGTATTGCTGCCAGCGGTTACACTGTAGAGTTTTGATTTTCGGAGCTTAAATTCTGCTTCCCCAACTTTGGAATTGAATAAATGTAAACATCGTTTCAGATATCTCCAGATCAGAGTATTGATAATTCATTTGTTTCGGACTCAGTCGAGACGACATCATCAATGACAAAGGAGACAATTTCAACAACAGTTCGCAGGGATGTGAATGGTTCGCCAGGATTCAGTGTTGCAGGTGGTACAGGTGATGTAATTGTGATATCATGTATCGCTTCTGGTGGTGCGGCTGAAAGAGATGGCAAGTTGCGCGTTGGTGATCGTGTACTTTCGGTAAGATTTTAAACAAATTTCTAAAGAATTTTCAGGCAAAGTTTTTTCTATATTTCCAGTGAGATACACATTGGAAAGATTGTTTTCAATACGTGAAATATATTTTGGTTCATTCGTTTACATATAAACTCAGATAAATGGCACAAATATGAAAGGTGCACGACATGACCAAGCAGTAGCATTACTAACTGGGCATAGTGGGAGTGATATTTACCTGGTGGTGCAGCGAGATCGTGCAAATCAAGCCGTTACCATACCTCCTTCTTCACCGAGGTGATTTTTTCTAGAAAATACATCTCATATTTGATTAATTTCTAGTTGCTTTCTCGAAATTTTCTTCCAACTTTTTATTTTATTAAATAATTTTAAAAAGTCTTATTTAAGTTTGTCTTCAAAAACACTCGCAGTTGAACGGATATCGCCACTAAGGAAAGGTGGTTTCGGTGATCCTTCTTGGGATGGTAAAACTGAAGTTAGTTATTAAATTAAATTATAATTTACAAGGAATAATATCTGTTCTTTTGCAGTAAATGTAAAGATATATTGGTCTGTTCTTCTTTGTTCATGAATGTTGAATCATAAACTTTGCATTAGAGGAAGCAAGTTTTTCTGCAGTGCTATTTGACCATAGCTAGCTTAATTTCTTAGTGTGATTGAAGGATAAATTCACCGAGAAAATGTGGGAAGCAAATTGAGAATCAGTGAAGGGAAGATAAGCACCGTCGAAAAAGCTATGCCAATGATGCATTATTTAGGTTTCTCACCTCTGTAGGTTTTTTTTTTTTTTTTTTTTTAATATAGCTTATATTTTTGTGTGCATTGAATAACTTTACAGGAAGTAGAACTTGTGCGTGATAACCACTCGCTGGGCTTATCAATTGTTGGTGGTAGTGATCATTCTTCGCATCCATTTGGTGTCAACGCACCTGGCGTATTTATTTCAAAGATAACACCTAATTCACCAGCAGGTCGTTCACAGAGACTACGTATTGGAGACAGAATATTATCGGTGAACAATATCAATATCCGTACAGCGAAGCATCAAACAGCAGTTGAGGTATTTTACCATAACTGGTGTATTGTTTATATATTTTAGAGTCGTTTTTGAGTATAATTTTTCTTGTTAATTCTCATTTATCCTTAAAATTTTAGTACACTGTTTATTTGCATGACGATTTACAGAATAAATTATTTAAATGACCTAATAGAAAAAAAGTAGTTTATCTATGGATCCTAATTAGCCTTCACACAAGTTTAGACGTTTCACGAAGTTTTGGAGTTTCATTTTCAAACAGTATAACATAATTGTTATTACTTTATTTTCGTTTAATTCTCTACATTTTAGGCCTTGAAGCAAAATGATAGAACAGTACGTTTGTTAGTCATTCATGAACCACAACCACCAGGCTTAAGGCAAGTAACAATCAAGCGAAACGTTGGCGAAGCACTAGGATTAAATATTTGTGGAGGTATCGGTAGTCCACCTGCCAATCCTCTTGACAAATCGGATGAAGGCATCTTCATCGAAAAGGTTCGCTTCACTTGTGAGGAAGTACAAAGGTGTGGTAGTAATAGAAATGAGGATAGTATACTATTGAATATAAAAACTGCATTGAAAGGAAATCCCTTGTGTAAATATTATGTAAATTATATGAACATTCTTTTTTTAGGTCGAACGAAATGGTCCTGCAGCTATTTCATCGTTGTCGGTAGGAACTCGAATTCTGGAGGTTAACGATGAGTCTCTCTTGGGATGCTCACAGGAAGAGGCAGCTCGTATTTTACGTCAGTCTGGCACAACTGTACGGCTACTAGTCTGTGATGCTTTTTGTATACCTTCTACTGCTGTAAGTTTCGTCTGTTAGCCTTACTTGTAGCTTTTTTCGGTTTCTCATTTCTTCATTTTACTCTAATAACCTTCTAGTATTTATGTTAGGCAAATATAAATATTTGATTGAAGCAATTTTGATTTAAAACATTTTTGAAAACAGGTTTTTCTTCCCCTTCTTTTGTTTAATTTTCAACCTTTACAGAAGTATTTTCAGATTAAACATCTGATTCTTTCTTGCAGGTGTCTTCCACGTTTGTGAGTCAAGTTAATAGTGATACCCCTATTGTATCCAGCGAACGTCAGACTACTGTTTCCAGCACCCTTTTAAATACTGATGTTCAAGAATCATTAAGTGGCTCTTCGTCACAGCAATTCAAGCAGTCTTCATCACCGGACACTGGAGTTTCCGAAACAATCAGAACACTGGCTTCCATTTCGACTGATAGTCCCTTGGCCACTTCTTCTCCAATTCCGCCTTCTTTATCTTCTGTTGTGGTCAGTATTCTTTTACACATTTCATTTTTTTTTTTAACTTGAAGTAAATATGGAGATATTGATCACATGAACAAGAAAATTATTACTTTTTAATAGAGATTGGCACTCATAGGTAATGTAATAGATATTAATTCAACTGGTTATTAACATCAGTAATATTTTTTTTGCGAAACTCTTATGTGGCAAAAATAATGTAATGTAAGAAGAGAAAAAAGCACATTTGAAAGATCAAGATATATTCATACTAATATTGCTTAGAAAAATTAAAATGTAATTCAAAAAACAAAAATCTTTTTATTTTGGAATTCAAATCAATTTCTGCTTCTCTAAATACAATTCTGACATGTTGATTGTTAGACAACAATAAAAACTGTGGAGAAAAATATCTCAAAGGAGCTATGAGATTTGGAAATTTTTGCAAAATCAAAATGAAGAAAATGATTTCGCACATTTTTTGTGCAGTCTGACTTAACAGCAGTGTGGTAGTCCATGAATGTCTAAGAAATAATTGCATCGTAAAGTTCATTGTAAGATATTTGAAGGTTTTGTATTAAAAGTTGTACAAACTATATTGAGTTGCAGTTCTGTATGTCTGTAATTTTGCTGTATAACTTTCACTTACGGATACGAAAATTTGCACTATTAAGCTGTTTCTTTTCGCAATTTATTCTGGATTTTTAGGCATATTCATCAACTTCGAGTTTACCGCAACCTTTATCTCCGTTTTCATCATCAAATACAACTACTTTTTCTACGTCAAACCTTCATCCAGCAGTTCCTCCTCCGATCGCACCAAAGCCGAAAATCATTCCAGATCAGGTAATAGATTTGTTATGATTTTTTTGAACGGTACACATAATTTTTTGTTTGATTGAAAACACTGATTTTTCACGGTTTCCCTACTGTATAGTCTAGAATGGTGACTATGAAAATTTTTTTGGGAAGTATCTGGTTCAATACAACCATCTAAATGGTGATGGTCATTTATGCTATTCTTTGCTTATGATTTCTTTTGCTAGAATTCGAAAAAATGGCCTTTTCTATCTTCCAAGTTTAATTTCTTCTATACAGTTCGGTTGTCTTTTTTTTTTCAAGTTTGATTTCGTTCCCTTGCTCATTTTACAAAATTTTCAAAATTCTGTTAACTTTGAGTTAAATTAAGTGCATTTAACGGCCTGACTTATAAGTTTTTCACATGCTCCATTATTAAACTTTTTTGAGTCTAAATTAGCTTAATATTAACGTTGGGCCACGTGCTCGTGCTTTTATTTCCTCGCTTTCCTATTCACATACATATATTAACACTTATTACTGATATCCCATCATAGTAAATCAAAATTGCACTTGCCAAATCTGTCACAAGTATAGTTGGGATATTTCTAGTGTACTGTAAAAAAGAATGTAAGGGAATTCTGTCTTCTGCAGTAAGCTACGTCTTTAGAAGTAAGATTGAATTATCGGTACAACCTAAATGGATTCAGATTATCTCGTTCTTTCCTATTAGTAATTAAGTAAACCTTAGTGCATTTTTAAAAATACGAGATGGACATTTCTTGGACTAAATTACTTCAATATATTTATTCGTAGAATGGGAATGCAGTTGGTGCATCTTCACCGCTTATTTCTTTTGGTGAACAATTTGAAAAGCAAAAAGAACGCACAGTTTCGTCAGCGCAGGTCTTTTTCTGAAAAATCGTGTTATATTTGTTCTATTTATTAAAATTTTCGTTATAATAACTAAATTTTGTGGGCATCTTTACGTTTTTTAAATTTGTTGAATTATTACTTCTAAAATATAAGTTTTGCAGACGAGGGTGATTTTTTTAATATAGAAAAAAGTATTCTGCTGTATCAAAAATATGAAATAAAATGTTGACGAACTGAACGGCGTCATTCTGCTTTAAAATGTTTCGAAATTTAATTGGCAAAACTAAATTGGAATAAAAAGAAGAATCCGTTTTCAGTCCTCATCTCCATCCACGTCGTCCTGGTCGTCGACTCCGAATCCCGAACGGTTGGCATTTTCATCGAAATTAGAAAAATTCGAGCGCGAAATTGAAATTAAAAGGCCAGATGCTAACCCCACGACAAAATCTACCCTTCCTCCCGGTTAGCACTTTTAAATAAGATTTTTTCTGTATTTTTAAGATACCTTTTATTGTTCATGTTAATCACTCACAAGTGAACAACTCTACTAACAGCATTAATTTTCAACTTTTCCTTTTAATAGCATGATTTTTCCACCGCTTATCACATAAAATTCTCCATCTTGCAAGGTTTGCATGCTCTATAAGCTTGTATTTGAATAATATTGAGAGTTCATCTCTTAAGTTGTTAGTTTTTGAATAGACAGAAGGCGTTTTATAGTCAGTTATGAATTTGACTGTCAGAGTGGAAAATGAGCACGACACTGATATTGGTTTTTTTTTTTTGAATTCTAATTCACCACTTGCTCTTATTCTTACGACTTGAATAATGCGATTTTGGAAAAAAATTCTTCAACGGTACTTATTCCATTTCTGGCAATGATTAGAAGCTTGAGGTTTTGTGAGTAAATATGACAGTGAATGTGATTTTGGAAATGGGAAGCACTTTCCAGCAATATTATTAGATATAATATGATTTGTAGTTTACAAACTAAGTCATATTTAACAGTTCTGTTCAGAAATGATTTCATTTCTAATTGCTGTTAAATAAAATTCCATTTTAAAATCTTTCTAAAGTTTTCGAAAATATTAGAAAAATTTCAGTCGTACAGGATGCCTGCGTATAATGTAAAACGATCATGGCCATCAACTTATATTGCTGTGGTATCTGTTGGATTACTGCTTTTGTAATTTATTGTGCGTTATTGTTGTTGTAGTTATTGTTTATTTGTACTTTTACTTATCTTTCCGGTTTTGCTATTCTTTTAGCCGTGTGCAATTTCAGATTCGAAAATTTTTTCAAAGGCAAATAAAAATATTTAATTATTTCCCAAAGAATTACCTCAAATTTATTCTTCATCCAGCAGACTGTAATATAAAATTTAAATATCCATGAAAGTTTCGTGATACTATGTGAAGTTCTTTAAAAATTTATTTTTCTGGAATTATGGAAGTAAGACAGCTTGATTTGATGAAAATTACATAATCCACAAGTATTCGACGAGTTAAGATTTAAGAAATTAAACGCTGTCATATCTGCTACCTAAAAGCAAATTGTCTTTCTTCTCCTTTTCTATCGTCCCTTTTTTTCTTTACAATTCAGGTTTTCCGAACTATTAATGTTTTTCATCTTTTCATCTATAATCCATCAGATTTTGGATTAATAAAGCTTATAATTTTCATAATTTGGACTGTAGATTATTTTCATCTCATCAATTTTCAATCATTACATTTATAAGAATATGCATATACATGCAGATATTAGTTATTAAATACATTTCATGCAAATTTTTTTCATTGTACGTAACTTGTTTTCTAGTTTTTAATATAATTTTCGAGCCTTTTACTCTTTTCTTGATGAGTTGTAGATATTTGTATGCCTTGCTATTGAAATTTGTTTCTTTATTTGGTCTTCCTTATGCGTTTACTGATTTTCTAGTAAAGTCTTTAGGCGAAGTTATCATTAAAATTACTGAAGGAACGACAAAGAAACAATGATAAAAGGAACAGAAAGCTTTTTTGCTCACGATTTTTTAGATCTTGCAATTGTTAAACTTCTGTTCTTTTAATAAAAGGTTTAAGTTCAACAATACGATAATTTCTAGCTCATTTGCAGATTAAAAAAACGATAACGAAGGGATCGAACGATTTGAAATAATTTTTCTTTCAATCTAATGATTAATTAAAAATAAGGACCCGTGTTGCAATATTCACTTTCACTAATGTTTGCATGATTCTTATTTAGCTTGCAGTTGTCATCACTTTGTTCGTCCATTTTCCAATCTTTTAAAGTTCTTTCATTTTGATAATTTATTGAATGCATTACAACATTCTCATTTATTTGATATTACCACAGTGTTACTGTTTTTGTAATCGCTTTGGAATACTTTGTGATTGTTATCAAAATTTTCTTCGGTTAAGGTAAAACTTTCAACTTATTTTAATTTTTTGTCCCACAGCACTTTATAAAACTTTCAACTCATCTTAATTTTTTGTTCCAGCATTTTATTAAAGTAACTGTTGAATTACCTGCAAGGATAAGTTGTGCTTCCTTAAAATTTTAAAAGCAGAACGATCTAGTGCTGCAAAAGGGATAGTACTAAATATGAACATATCAAATCAATGATGAACATAAATGCTGCACAGTTTTGCCGGCTTTTTTGAACTGCTGTGCAATTTCATTCAGATTTGATAATAATAGCGAACGCTTCCTTTGATTTTTTATTCTGGTTCTAAAAAAAGAAAATTTATGACTTAATTACGGAATCACCATTTTTAAAGTGTCAATTTCAGCGAAGAAACCATTTTTAAATGAAGACGAAATTCGGAAAATGAAAGAAGAAGAAACTAGGAAAGTAGCGAGTGGATCCACAAGAATAACCTTCAGCCCCGCAGACGATGAGCTCGACTGTTCATTCGAACATATCCTCAATAACAGGTTTCTCTCATTTTCTAGATTTCAGTAATAAAGTTTTGCGCCGTATTGAGTGCCTTTAGTCTACAGCTGCAAAACTTTGATTTCGACACAAATGTTGATAGTTCCCTTTTTCATGTAATTCTTATATCGAATCAAACGCTCACTTCTGTTTTCTGTTGGATTAACGTACATTGTATAAAGTAAAAATGTAAATGACAGATTAATTATTCCATCTCTTATATATCCTTTTCTTGTTTATAAACGCGGGCCTTGTAAATCGCAGAAATTACTCGCAATTTTTGTTATGCTATAAAGTTCAATTTTATTTTTCTGATTCAACGTGTAATAATTCTTAATTTTTCTTAGGATGGTATTTGCAGTAAACTTCTATATTATAAATTATTTAAGCCAAGGTTGTCATCAACATCTTTCAAAAATTTGTAAGCCATTTTTTAACGTTAAATGTAAACATTTTTTGTAGTGCTGTGCCTCGCACGATGCCAACTGTAATACGCACAAAAAAAGCGGAGAATCGTATGGTAGCTTGTTCTCCATTCCCAGTTCTAAGTGGTGAACCATTAAATACTGTTGAGCAACGAGCTATGGAACATCAAAAGCGTCAGGAATGGCGGCAAGCGAGGTGATTTACGACTTTAAATAAATGAAATTATTTGACATAATGAAGTTCTTATTGTGTTTGTTACTATAAGCAGCTTTTCAAATTTCGGAACAAGGGTTAGCATTTATGAAATTAGAAAAGATATTTAATTTGCGGGCTGTTATCTTTAAAGCAGTCTTTCAATTCATAAACAGTTATTTAGGTTTAAATCTCTGGAAGCCGACTCAAAAGCTGCAGATGAAGTTATGCAGCAAGTTGAGCAAATTAACAATGTAAGTTTTTTTATTTTGAATTGAAATTTAAAAATTTGTATCTCTTTCCTTTATGAAGCAAACAAAATAAATACTTAATGAATCCTTGCAGAGATTGGCAAATATTATAGAAGAACACAACAACTCTTCTTTACTTGGAAATGAGAAGATTTTGCAAAATGAAACTTCATTTGAAAGAAATGAGTATGTCGATCCAATCACTGGTGATACGACTATTTCACTTGTTGAAAAAAGTGTCACTCAGAGAGAGGTGAATTAAGTGTAATCTTATGAATTTTTTTTTATTTTAGATAAGTATGTTCTAGAAGATTAGTTTCTTTGAACAAATATGTCCTAGAAAATTACTAGTACTATTAGTGAAATAATTCTGTCAGTTCAGTGCTGCGCGATCCAAGTTCAGACACTTCATATATCCGCTAGGAATTAATCACTAATATTTCTGTTACGTAATCCTTTTATAGCTTTGTAAGAAAGGAATGATTTTTGGCTTCTAACACTTTTCCTTGTGATCTTTCATAATTTTCAAGCCCCACAATCTCAGTTCTGCTTGATACTAGGTAGCAGACAAGCATTAAATCTTTTTTACCTCCTGATCTTGTGTATATCTGCTTACATATTCCCTAGCAGTGGAAAATATTCATACAAAGTTCTGTTTATCGATTGTTAAGCTTATCAATCAAGTATAGATGAATTGGTTCAACCAATTATGTGAATCCTGCCTAAATTTATTTTCAGATAAACACATCTTCCACATTAATCAGTGATTTGAGTACAGAAATAGCGAATAATTCGAAAAAATCTGAGATAAACGTCAGTCAAAATTAATATGAAAGCATGAATTGTGCTACGATTATGCGATATAGTTCGATATGATGTTGAGATTACTGTCATCTGGTTCTAAACCATTTTGTAGGTCTATGTTTTTGTTTTTCGGAATATTTTCGATAATTAACTTTCTCAATGTTCACTAAAACATGCTTATCAATAGTACGGGGTAATACTTTTCAGAACTTTTTTCACAAATTTATGGCGCATCAATTAATATGGAAATAATGTGTAGAACTCTGATTTCCTTATTTTTCTGTTTTGTTAAAATCCGTATAACCAGTAGTAATGAAGAATTTAAGATTTGTATAAGGTTATTTTTCATTCAGTGTTTCATTATATTTGAATCCTTGCTGTTGTCTATTAGAGAATATTTCTGCAGAGGAAAATAAGATACATTTTTATGAAAACAAAGGAAATGTCATAAGCGATTTCTCATATCGCTGCTTTAGTTGTATAAAATTTGAATAACATCAGAAGTTGTGGACTTCATATTTGGTGTCAACAGTGCATAGTCCTCATTGTGAATGAAAAATTGTGTTATTAAGCTAAAAGTGCCTGTCCTTAGTATATTTTCTGCACAATTTGTTTTTTATCGCTTTTATTCACGTGGTTATGTATGTAACAGTAATTCGAGTAGGAACTATTTTTTTCTCCCATTTTAATATAAGATTTTTTTTTCAAAAATGAAAATCCATTTTGCTGCATTGTTTAAATCTAATTTAAATGAGAAATTCAATCAACCCAGTTGTTACTGGCACATAACTCCATTACCATGTGATACAGAAGCTACTTTCGTCTCACTTTTAATATACTTTGACAGGTGAAGTTTTCTACTTCCTGCAGAATTGACAAATTTTTATCAGTTTATAATGAGAAAGAGCGAAATCTGAATATACCAGTTATTCAAAGAACAATACCTGTACTTTTGTGCATTAATTATTGTTAAAGTTGTCTGCGATATACTTCTGTTTTCGGTACAAGGAGAAATTTCTTGGGTTATCTATTCATTTCGTCCATAAGGATAAGTGCCAGCTGATAATTAAATTGATAAATTTTCCACTGAATTACTATGTTTTTTGAGAGGTTAAGCTTGTTTTATTCCTTTGAACTTTAACTCAGGATTCCATGATTTCATATCAGTTGTCATGCCGGTTGTGAAAGCCATCGATTGATTGAATTGTGATTATACTTCTTTGTTTGCGTTGTTTATGCAGCGACCAAGTGCTGTATCGAAGTTTCACTAATTTTAATATTACATTTTGTAAATTCTGTAAAATTGCGAGGTGATATTTATTATTCTGTTATTGTTATAATTATTTTTATTGCAATGAATAAAGAGGATTTACCTACACCAATTTATATGTACGCTAATATAATATAAATCAAGTTTATTTTGAATTTTTCCCATAGACATGGAGGAATAGTGAATGCTTCTAGTATGATAAAATCAGCTTTACAGGCACTAATTTGTACACATTTCAATGATGGTATATAAGTTAGATGGAAACAATTTGTATGATTTTTAGTGATGCCTGGAAGAAATGCTGTTTCAAATAGATGGTATTCCTCGACCTGGTTGTTTGCATAATAATGATCATTGGATTGAAGAACATCTTTTCAAATTTTCTTTATCATCAATTTGATTCATACTTGAATAGTCATTAATATAGCTAACTTGATTTAGAGATGTCTTTCACTTATTTCTTCGTTGAGAAATTGTAATGTATCAATAGTACTGTTTCAATCAATGTAACAACACATAGTGGCATATTATCATGCTTGTATGATGTGGAGTGTTACATTTTGCAAAGTTTTTTGTGATTCAGAATAAATTTATTTGTCGAAGGAGTTAAATATTTCTCAGTGTTGCTGTAACTATCCTTGATGGATTATATGCAAATGACAGTCAATTGGTTATACCTTTGACATTTCGAAAAGTCAAAGATTTGCCTAAAGGGTTTGGTAGTCTTGAAAATTTCAGTGAAACTAAATATTTCAAATATATAACGTGTTATCTTCCAGTAATTCTTATTAATTGACATTCACATTATGTTTTTTTTTATATAATGATAAAATCATTATTGGTACTGTTAATGTACAGATAACTGTGAAAATATACAAATCCATCAGTTGTTGATGTTAGAGACTTCGTGATCATATTAATTCTAGTCTTGTAGGTTAAGTCATTATTCATCCTCTAATTATATTTTAATAGTCATTTTTCAATACATTCTGATCATCGAATTATTTTAGTTTTTATAAAGAAATATTAAAAAAAAAAATACACTAGAGGTTTCTAATCCTTCACTTCCTGCTTTACAATTATTATTTGTTAATTTCAGGGGTTGTAATTACCATTAGATTTGCACTTTTCAAGTATTAAATTTAACCGACGTTAATAATATTTTCTTCGTTTTCATATGTCCTTGCTGTAACTGTACATTTTTCTGTTCGCATTAATCAACACATCGCCTATCAGCTAAATGTATCGTTAAGAAATGTCGATGTGATAGAAGATTTTCAACTGAACTTTTAATTTGTAAGTATTTCAAGTTGACTTCAAGTTGACATTATGTTTAGCAAGTTCTATTTTTGCCACGTTCTATTATGTACTTTGATGAACACTGCGGTATCTTTTTGCTAATTCTTCTCCTGCAAAATTTCTGTATTATTTTATTTTATTGCTCTAGCCAACTAAAATCATTTCGTGTTATATAGTACAATATGAACAATTTTTTTCTAATTTGTGTACATTGAAGTAGAAACAAATACTACAACTTGCAGAAGTGCTGCAGCAGCTGCATGAGTATTATCATAGAAAGAAGTATCAATGATTACTTTGGAATGCAGTGCTTTCAGTGTGTTCAGGGTCATTAAGAAAACAACGGTGATTGGAAGTACTGGAAGGAAAACTGGCAAGGCCTGAGAAGTGTTCCCTCATTATCATTCCAAATTTCATCAGTTATATGAAATTTAATATATTTGAAAGATAATTACTTCTTTTCATTAAAATTAATTAAAATTCTTGGTCTATTTGTCAAACTTATTTTTCGAACTGCGGGATTAGCGTTTGAAGTTTCGCCTTTTAATGTTGCAAAAGTAGACATGTTTAAACAGGAAAACATTAAAGAAGTAAATAAGGGGCTGAAACCGTTAGATCAAAAGTAACGTTACATCCAGAATATTGGATTGGTAGTGATAATATATAAAGACAAAAATTAGCAGTACTAAACACAATATATAAAAGAACAGCCTCGATGATTGTGATAGATGACATTGTACATTTCAACTGAAGTTAGAGATAATTCAGAGAGGATAGAGCAGGATAATCTTAGTATTAATGGCATCCAACATTTGAAACAAAAGTGATACATGAAATCCTTTTTGTCTAGATCTTCTTAAAATTTCATGTGAGATGGTAGTCATAACTTCTTTTTTTATGGTTTATGAAGAAAATAAGAAAATGGAAAAGAATAAATTTGCAAGAAAAAAGTGCTGCTGTGGTGGAAATAATTAGTATTGCACAGGATTGAGTACCAATCTATCATTACAAAACTAACTTTGCGATCTCTTAATATTACGAAATAATTTGGTACCCATCAATAAGGCTAAACTCAAGTATGTGCTGCAGAGTTTTTGATCAGTAAGAAGTTTGAATAAAGTGAAAATCCTATTGAAAACATTCTGAACTGAATTTGAAACAAAGATTAGAGTATTTTATAAAGTTTATAAGGTAAAATAAATGAAACATCCTGGTTCTTCAATTTACCATAATTTATCCTTAAAATAAATTTTTGCTTTTTTAATTTTCTCAGGTTTTTAATATCCATTCTCATAAAAATTTACGATGCCTTATGGAATAGTACAACTCGCTGGGAGTAGTTCAAACAAAAAAGACTGTGACCATTAGTCTTCACTTAGATGAAATGTGCGTGAAATTAAGCAGCTCCTGGCTTCTTTCAAAACTTGCCAATTTTTTTTTTTTTTGTCTTTGTTTTTGCTTTTTTGGAAATATAGTGAAAGAGGTAAACGACATGTGTCAAATGTAATGGAAGAGACGACATGAACAACATGTGTCAACATGAAAAAAGACGGACAGTTATTGGACATTGAAATTTTTACTTGCTGAATGAAAATCGCGAGCTTTCATTCTGTTTAGCAATTCAATTGTTTTCTAATTTGATATTTAATAGTGGGAATATTAGGAAGCTCCAGACTTGATTAAGATAGAAATGACCATGGAAAATAAACAACTGTTTTTATACTTTGGTACGCAATTTTGTATGTTATGTTTTCTTGCTTCTTTTATTGTGTGTTTCTTGCTTTTATGTAACTTCTTTTATTCACCTTAATTTTTAATGACAAATATATAATATATTTTCTTCATACTTTTTCCAAGCCAAAGATATGAATTCAATTCATAATTAATCA